CACCTTGATATTTTCCCAGCATGTAACTGAATATCACTCTATAGGCACATAATATTTCTTAATTAATTAATTATACTTAAATAGGTGAAAGTTAATGTCATGTGGAAGTGGAACAAATAAATAGGAGAAATATTATATAAAACATCTTATTCTGCTATATATATATTTTTATGAAAACATATACCAAAATAAATTTATTTTTATATTTAAATACTAATATGTATCCTGTATGAGATAAGCTGCCAGAATTATATACTTTGTACCAGTATGTATCATTTGAAAAGTTTCTAGATAAAACATAAGAGAAAATTATGCTACAAATTTACTCATTTAACAACTAAAATTATTTTGAGTTAAAGGTTAATGACAGGTAAGGAAAAGAGTCTGATGAAAGAGGACAAAAATATAATTAAGTGGTAATAGAGTGCTGTGCTTTCAGTTGTAACTCCCACCTCCTTTCCTTTAAGCATAAAAGCCAGCACAGGTTTTGTTAATGACAGCCCAGAAAATTATCCCTCTCATCAAGATTTCCAGATGTGCAGGGAGGTGAAAAACTTCAATTTACCCTTTAAAAATAATTTGTAAAATCTTAATCTTCTGAATTCAGTATCTGGAATATTATTAACCCATAAGGGAATCATTATGTCTTGTTTATATTTAATGATGATTAATATCATTGTTCTACAATCAAAATAAAATAGTCCAGTTTCTGAAAGTGTTCTTTTTGATTAAAAAAAAACAACACAGAAATTACTAGGGATTCAGGGATTTAAAATAATTGTAAATGCAATAAAAGGATTTATTTTTAAATTTTCACCTACCTTTTTGGAAAGATAAACTTGGAATGAGAATATTCTAATAGACAAAGAAATTTTCATTAAAAAACATTTCAAGAGAAAAAGTATAGCAATCATCTTGTAATTACCATATATTAATTTTTTTGCCATTGATCTTAAGCTCTTCTACAGCCCATTTTTTCTTTTCACATTAATGTGGGTTCAGATTACTGTGGACAAACTGAAGGGAAATTGTTTCATAGACTTGGATATGCACAGGACCTGGTCTTCATTTTGGAGTAACCTATAAAGAGGATATTCTTACAATAACATAACATGGGACATAATCTAGAAAAGCTATTCTTTTGAATGTACCATTGCGTTTGATCAAATAGATGTTATTTCATACTCTTATTCTAGGCATTTTTTCTAATTATTTAAAGGTAAGTCAAAATTGTTTTCTGATTTCTGGAAAACAAATCACCAAAACAATTTTAGTTAGTGGTAAAATATTTAGCAAGCACTGTTACAATGAAAAATATTTCTTCTCTGTATTAATTTAACTTTGGAAAAAGTAAGTGTACTCTACTTCTTTTATATAACTATTTCTTTCATATTCATGCTTTTCAACTTCTCTTTGAAACTTTCAATGATATTCAATTATATCATGCCACAGAAAAATCTGTTTCCTCCAATTCTCTCACAGTGATGTGCTTTTAACTTAAGATATAAATTCTCAGTATAGATGTGGCTCAAATAGTCTCTAAGACTGAGTTTTAAAAAATGATCTCATCATTTCATATATTTATAATATATGTTTAAAACGGTTATATGAGATCATTGTAAGATCCCATTTAGGTTAAGATTTATTTCCAGTAAGTGATATGCTACTTCAGAGTAAACACTTCACACTTGAAACATGGTAT